TAAGTGCTGCCTGGTCGTCCTCGACAAATTCAAAACTTTGAATTCTTTTGAGACAAGCCCTGCGTCTGTTGAATGACAGGTGATAAATCACAAACTGCGACACTTGTTTGCTGTATACCTGGGACAGATTGGGAAGGTTTATCTTTGAACTAAAAAAAATGTTTTTCATCATAGTTCGTGACGATGGTACGACAAGAAGTTCACACAAGAAACCAAAAGAAGACACTTTCGGCCAAAACGACGATGACTGGATGGTGTACAGGTCAATTGTGAGTAAATAATGTAACTAGTAATCCGTAAGATTCAACCATTCCGTCGTCTTCTTTTTTGTTGTTGTGTTTCCCCACTTGTCTGTTCCATTTCATCGAGCTTAGCCAATATTAACCCTTCTACCCCTTAGAGTGATTGGCATCTAATTTCTCCTTACAGTATCACTGCTGAATCAAACATTAAGGTCTTGAGAATAGAGGAAATGATCACCAACTAGAGAAGCTCTTGATAGGTGAACAAATTCTCCGTCTCCAAATTCACCTTTGAAAAATGTTTGGAGAACAGCATGGAGAATAGAGATACCCACGTTAGGGTGCAAATTGACCTCAAAGTCACGTTTGGTCAACCAAAACCAAAGTAATCACAACTGCCAATCAAAACAACGGGAAATGTTCGAAGACGCCAGTGGGAAATAAAACTGAAAATAAGCTCACTGCCTGAAGCGCAGAAAACGTGAGTGTGCCAGTCGTGATTGGTAGAAAGTTAGGCGCGAATTTTCTAAATTGCTCTAATTTGTAAATTTTCTTTTCCTTTCCACAGAATAAAGATGCGGGTGACTCCGATAGCGAAAAAGAACAGGAGGAACTGAACGAGCTAGAAAATTTACTTAAGAAACACGATCCCGACTTTTCAAAGTAAGTACTGTTCTTTTATAGCAAATACTTCACATATGACGAGCCTTTAATGTTAAGGTAGAAATGGCGATTTTGACGGCGCATATGTATAACAAAACCACACCCGTAAGTGCAAATTCTGGAAGCCCCCGACGTTTATGAATTCTCTAAGGGCTATTTCATTCCGCTCGCATTAACAACGACAAAATTGTCTTGCTTTGTAGACGTTTTGGAGGGAAACCAGAGACTGCTGTTGATTGGGCAGAGTATTATCAGCTACACCTTGGTGTAGAGAGGATAAGGTAATTTAGAAGGCCATGGCCTTACTGCAGGGTAGCCACCGGGAATCTTTCTTTGTTTATTTATTTATTTTTTTTTTTTGAGATTTCCTCATTTCTGTTTGCTGTGATTGGTCTTCTAGGTCACCATGGTTACGTTGCCACGTTAGGCGTTGAGAAATAGCGGCAACGTTATGTTAGGTCCAAGGTCAAGGACCAGAAACAGCAATGTGAGAATGATATTCATATCTTTCTTTTTGGTGTTTTTTTTTCTTTTTTAGAGTCCCCGAGATAGTATATCAACCATCTTTGCTGGGCATTGAACAAGCTGGCATTTCTGAAACTATAGACTTCATACTTAATCACTACTCGACAGACTTACAGACAGCTTTAGTGCAGGTAGGATATGGAAGGATATGCTTTTGTGATTGACCAGTACGTACTTTGTTCCCTAATGTTTAATAGTGCTGTAGATCAACTGTTTTGTTGTGTAGACATGTGCTCGCGGTAAATAGCTCTCAGGTTATGTCACGCCCGGATCGATGTGAGAAGCACAGCTAGGTCTCTCAACGTGCTCTGCCATGCTATCTTCCCACTGCCTGGTTACGAGCTTAGGGGTAGGGGGTAGGGAGGAGGCAAGCGAAGGGTAGGGGAGGGGAGAGAGGTAGGATCGACTCAAGTCTAAAATTTGGGTCCGTGTTTTTGTTTAAACCCAACACTTTCCATAAACAGTGAAGGCGCTATTCCAGGACGTAGAACTCTTGGTGCAATTAAGTGCGCAAAATAACCTACAGAAGAATTACATCCTACAAACTTCATATAAACATTCGTAAGAAGTAAGAATAAAACTTGTCTTGTCATGCCCCGATAGTGTACCATTAAAGAACGATTGTCTCATGATTATCATGCTCTGCGCTATTCGGTTTGCATTTTTTCAGACATATTCTCCTACAACTTTTAAATCATGTTCAATGGTAACTAATTAACACCAGTCAATCGAGTGGGTCGAGTGACCGGTATTTCATCAGTTAGAACAAAACTCTTTTTAGAATTATTAACTGTGCGGTCATTCTGGTTTGTCAGACGCCTTTATAATCTAAGAATGTAAGGCTCGGTCGTTGGCCGAGTGAATTTAACACAAGTGTTGTGGAAACTTACATCACATCTGTAGTTGCCTCGTTTATTTTTTCTCCTTAGAACGTGTTCGTGACTGGAGGAAACACCAAGTTTCCAAACTTTCAAGAACGTCTGGAGAGAGAGCTCCTAGCTATCCGACCATTCCAATCAACATTTAGAGTTTTTAAAGCAGGTAGACAAACAAGCTTGTTGCAGTAATAACCGTAATGAAAGCATTCTTCTGTGACGTGAAGGAGATAACAAATGTCTCAATTCTCCTTTCAAGGGTTTTACAAGAGTTTCGAAACTAATTCCGCATGCTCTGTATTTTTTCCTTTATTTCTGACTGGTCATTAAGATTACCTCGTCTTGGGTTTTTCGAGTCTCCTGTTTCACATTTTTCTGAGAAACTACATCAAGACATTACACATGACTCAGCTGGCTAATAAATTCCCCTTGGCTCAGTTGGCAAAGAATTAGAGTAATTTTCAACTGATTTTCGAAAGTAACAGAGGGTTGCGTTGGTTTTACTTCAGTATCCACTGTTATTGGTCTCGAAAATTCGCCCATCTCTTAACCAATCAAATGAAAAACTAAAACCAGTCGTTTCTTAATGACTCGCGTTTTATCGCGCTTCAGGCAATTTACTTGTGCGTAACAATTCTCCTTGGTTCCTCATGATATATTTATTTTTTGCTTTTCGAACGGCCTTTGTAATTACTTTATATTTGGCTTAACGATTTAACGATACCAAATCAAAAGGTGTTCTTAACCGCAAAATATAAGTCTGGCTGTAAATGGATCCTTCACCCGTGGAGGACTGGGATTTCTATTTGCTCCACACCCCCGACAGATTTTTGACACCTTCCCTTACCTAATCCATTTGTAGCCAATCCTGTACTTGACGCCTGGAACGGAGCTCGTAAGTGGGCGAGGTCACTAAGCAGTCTACAAACAGTGAGCGTTACAAGACAGGAATACGAGGAGAAAGGCGGTGACTACCTCAGGGAACACTTCGCTTCAAACCGTTACGTACCCACCCCTACACAGTCGTGATTGAATTTCAACCCTAAGCAATTTACTGTTAGTACGGTAGAGAGTAACAGACTAAAATAACACTAAATCATACCTTGATTTAAAATCCTAGAGAAAATCCTAGAAAATCTAGAGGTTGCCTTTACATATCTATTGACAACAAAAAATATAAACTGTAATTTTCCATAACTAGTTTTCTCTAAGGAGAAACTAGTTAAGGAATACCTAGAAGTATTATCCAATCTGGAACGTACTAACTGCCCTGGAAGATCTTGAAAGATATTGTCTGTTGTTGAGTGGACCGAAACTGTTGTAAATACATCATCGTAAATTGCTTAAACCTTTCGCTGTTTTGAGTGAATTATGACACGTTCATATTTGATCACTGCTTCAAAGTTCCTTTCGCCTCTTGTGCCCTTTCTCTATTCGTTTGTGCGCCAAAAAGTATCTTTAGGACTTTCACTTGTACAAGAGCTTTTTATGTGATGGCCATTCTCAACCCAGTTACACTCTCTACATTTCCTAATGTGCTGACAAAGAGAATTTTCGAAATTATCAAGAGTTGTTTTAATTGGTGATCGGTAGTGATAAAACTCAATCGCTAGTGCTGAGAAAATATCAATCGATAGTGACAAAACTCAATTGTTAGTGTTTAATTATCAATCGTTAGTGGTAAAACTCAATTGTTAGTGCCGAAATATCAATCGCTAGCGATAAAACTCAATTGTTAGCGCTAAAATATCAATCGCTAGTGATAAAACTCAATCGTTAGTTTTAAAACAACAATCGCTAGTGATAAAACTCGATCGTTTGTGCTAAAATATCAATCGCTGGTGATAAAACTGATCGTCAGTGCTAAAAATATCGATCGCTAGTGATAAAACTCGATCGTTATTGCTAAAATATCAATCGCTAGTGATAAAACTCGATCGTTGGTGCTAAAAATATCAATCGCTAGTGATAAAACTGATCGTTAGTGCTAAAAACATCAATCCCTAGTGATAAAACTTGATCGTTAGTGCTAAAAATATCAATCGCTGTGATAAAACTCGATCGTTAGTGCTAAAAATATCAATCGTTGTGACAAGACTCAATCGTTAGTCCTAGTATCGACTTGTTCTCGATTTTAAGCAAAGATGAACCAATCAAATCTTGCTTGCTTACTTGAAATCTGATAAGGGACATTGGAATAAGGATGAAATTAAAGACGGGCCGGCGCGGACTCCCCATGTGGCTTTTTTGATCGATTATGTGATTTCATATCGTGTAGTTCAGCTGTTTCTCTAGCAACGCGCTTTTGATAATGTTCGTTTTCTTACATGAGAAATCCATATACCAAGTATCTTATAAAAACTGTTAAATTTTTAACACAGAACTTTCAAGATAAATTTGTAGTTAACTAAGCAGAAAATGACAGACGATAGATCTCATTTTATGGGTTTTGTTTTAAACAGAGACAACCTCGTTCCCAGGGTCTCTCATCTTCCCGCCGCCGCGAGCTCGTTCCAGGGGGCGGGAAGATGATAGACCCTGGGAACGAGGTTGAAACAGAGACCGCTAAAAACCACACTTAACACTTTACACCCCAACATCAGTATGCAAATTCACCATGCTGTTCTCCATTCATTCCTTTATTTTTGTGACCTTAATGTGATGTTGTTGGGAGGAATTAGATGCTAGTCACTCATAGGGGTCCAAGTTTTAATGCGAAATACATCAGTGTACATGAGCAAGACTTAATGACATTCGACTAACAAACAACTCTTCAATTGACTCTGATGATCTCTTCCACTAAGACTGTCCAAACTTCAGTCTGTAACAGGACTCCTACAGTAATTCTGAACTTTTGCGCTCTGGTTATTTTGCTTCGGCTTTGTTGAAAAAAACAAGTTGGCCTTCCATGTCTTGCCATACTGTTTGCTATGCCACGTGATTTCAGTTCTCCTTACTATCACGTAATCACATCAGCGCGAAGCGGTCTTTGAAGCGTTTCCGTATAAATGACCAAAGTTAAATTGTCATAAAACGACCTATCCGGAACCTTTATTCAGCTTATGTCTTCAACACCAGTCCTTTCCGTTGCGGTACGCAAGTCCCTAAAGCTTGTCGCCAATCTTGAGTCTCGTGAAATTTCAACAAGATCTCAAAAACTGAAAAGAAAGAACAAGAAAAAACGGATTACAGTTTAGTAATAAGCCTGGTTGATCGTCAAAATTGTTGCAATCAAAGTCCAGCGGTCTTTGTGAGACACATGCTATCTTTTGGACTGTCACTGCTATTGTTAAGATGAGAAAATGTTTTTTACAGAGGATGTAGCTATCGAAGCGATCAAAGCAATACAGGCTGTTGCATCACTTTCGCTTATCGTAGATATACACACAGCTGCAATCCCATTCGGCCGACATTAGCGAAAAAGGGAATGGCTTCCTGGACTAAAGAGATGGTTGAACACGTTCAAGGTGACATGCCATCTTCTATACCAACAAGATGCGAACTAATAATAATTGTGACCACATCACTGATTTATTCCCACGCTAAGAGCAGTTCGCATGGTTTTATTCGAATTCTCATTAACTCCTTGTGAAATTTTCCTCAGTTGTGATTGGCATTGGTGATTGCTTTTTTTAGACACTCATTCAAAAAGCGGCCTAATGGAAAGGATCACTCTTTACTTAGTAACTCGTATTTAAGGAAGATTTGGCGATAAGATAAAACAAAATTGTCTTTGCCTCCAGTCTGCTTTGAAACGTCTAATTAATTCCTTTTAAAACTACGAGTAGAATCGTAAAGCAAATAGATACGATTTTTGTAATAAATAAAACATTAAAAAAATCCAAAGGAAATTGAGAAAACCTGCATGAAACTAAGGAAATTAAGAAAACCTGTATGAAACTCTCGCGGAGAGGAATACATAAATATAAAGCGTGCATTAAAACGTTCGTAAGTTAACGACGGCAACTGAAGACTGCATAAGTTTCGGTTTGCAGCCTTTCACATTTCTACCGATCAGCCAAAGGAAACAATATGTGGTTTCGGACTACATTATAAAGTCAAATACGCCTGTGATTAAGATCCCAAAGGATTTAAGTAGAAACCTATAGAAAATAGAAAATGGCACGGAAAAATGATCGACAGCGCGACCTAAAGCGAGACCCTGTCCACCGATTAGCTGTCCTAAGTCACACAAAGCACACAAACACAATTCTAGGCAATTCTACTTGGTAACATTTCACTCTCCTCCAACACGACGGCCCTCGTTACGTAACAATCGTCAACGAGATTTGATAAGGGTTCGATTTATCAGCGGGGGAGGGCCTTCTCGCTGACCAAGATCAACCTGTTAAAGGATGATTTTGTCATTAAATTGGTAGTTTGCATCTTGGGACACGATAGCCTATGTCTGACTCGCTGACCAGCTTGTCTAGACCGTCGGCGCTGCAGTGTAAAAAGAACGACACGTATTTACTTAGTCAACAACTAACGAACTGCCGAAAACGAAAATCTCATAATCACCATACTTTATCCTTTCGGTTTTAAACTAAGTTTGCTCTTACACAATCAGCCATGAAAATGAAATACGACCCTGAAATATGATAGAGTTTACGAAACAAAAATGAATTCGCTTCTGATCACAAGAAACGTGCTGTTTCTCTACAAATGTGTTCGGGGTATCAAGTCACGTTTAACGTGACAAGAAGAATATAACTGTTATTTCAGTCCGCATCGAGACGTGTATTCGGCAAAAATGTTACTTCAGGTGAACTTTTAGAGATGTTCTCTGTCTAAATCTGAACCAGTTTCTGCACAAGATCTTAAGTTCTAAACAACCATGTACCTCAAAAGAAAGAAGGATAACAAAAAAAAGGTGAAAAAATATTTAAAGAAAGACGGAAAACACAAAGAACAGAAAACACATATGGTACTCATCTATTTTCGGCCGAGTATAGAATGTGTGTATCTTAACAAAAGCCCCTCATATGCTAATATAGAGTATTGTTTAACTCCTTTTAGTAGCCTTTATTTTAACACTTCTTCAGTTCTTCTGCGCTGTTGAATGTTATTAGTTCTTTAAAGCAATTGTTTTGCAGTCTTGTAATGGAGAGGTTCAGTAACGTTAAAAATCGAACAATCCCTCGTTTGTAAACACTGAAATTCTTATTAACCAGATGGCCTGCAGCGGAGAGTGTTTCCATGGTTTGATTGATGCGTCTTATCTTGGTTTCATCGTTTCGTATTTTTATTGCATTTACTTTCGTTCATTTTTTCCGCATGATCACCGAGTTCTATGTTTAAAGGGTGGTCGTATACGTCACGGTAGCTAACAATAAAAGGTTTTTGTTAATGTACTTAAAAAGAAGTCTTCATTCGTTTCGATCCAACGCACGTTCTAGACGCTTTGCACCGCAGAAAAAATGAATACCTAGAGTCAAACGTCCTGTTACAACATTTGTCTTGCAAAAATTGACAAACGATATTTATCCAGTTGCACTCAGTTATCTGAGAGAGGTTCAAGTATGTCGCCCTGTGCAAGGAGTCTCTTTAGTGTTTATCTTGTGGAGAAAAATCGTTTTGATTGTTTAAAGGTTCTTGCGATTTTGATGTCGCTCTCAGGAAACACTCCAAAACGCTTTACGGTGTAATCGATGGCTGAATATGAAAATGACTCCGCTTCTAATTAATATGCGACTCACGCGTTTTGCCACATGTTTAGAGCATTTGTTACGTAACTTTCCTTTTTTCTTAAAAAAAAAAAAGAAAAAACGAGACAGCTGATCTATATTCCTTTATTATCATTAGTTTTTAACTGTCGTGTGCAGATCTGCTAATTGTTTCCTCTGCTCTGAAAGGATTGTCAAGTTTCTGAACCAAAAAGAAAACAAGAACATAAATCGCAGCAGAGAAATGACTCACCAACTGCAAACGATAACTAGAAAAGAAATGCGTAAGGAAAGTTTCAAGAAAGAGGTATTTTATGGACACTTCTCTACTTCAAGCAGCACCACCTCTAGCTGCCGTAGTCTGGATTCGTTCAGTTCGTCTCATACTTTCACCAACACGGAATCTTGTGTTAGAGAAGTTCATTTGGCAGCTAAATCATTATTTCCAGAATTCTTTGCCAAAAATGTGCGTCCTAAAAGCCTCTTAAAAACTGAACCGAATGAGAATTTCTGCCACCACGTGCTGAAGAACAAGGGAACGACAGGATCGCAAATGAGTTACCCTGAATTAGAAGACAGAATCAAGGACTGGTTTATTAGAGAATTCGGGCTGGAAAACCACTGCGTTTGAAATTAATCTGGAGTGCCTTTTAAAAGGAGAAGTTTCAAGATGGCTTCGCAGTCGCTTCATAAAAAACCGATGGCTAGCGCACTGAACCAAGCAGCACCAGAGGAATTGTTGATATTCGTAATTCAAATATCTGACTGGGTTGAAATATCTAGCGCACTGAACCAAGCAGCACTAGAGGAATGGTTCATATTCGTAATTCAAAGATCTGACTGGGTTGAAATATTTAAATTTTCAGTTTTCATATTGCTGATGATTATGGTATGTAAAAACAGGCTCCTTTAAGTTTGATAATGATTTTTGAGAAACGTTTACTGAAAAGCAATTAGCTATTACTACGAATAAGTAAGTTGTATCGAGTCCTGTAGTCTCAGAGTTTTAAGGACAAGAAGAGTCGGACTCTAAAACCTCGACAAAAACTGAAGGCTATATGAAAATAGGCAGAGGTCATGCTTTCGCTCTCGATGTTTACTCCACGACGTAGCTATGATGGACATGACAGCTACCATCGCATTAAGCATCCTAATGAGTTTTTTTAAAGTTTAAGGATGTCAAACGAGTCGTGTCTGAATTGCTCAAATAAAAGAGACTTCCATTCAACAATAATTAATCGATCTCATTCATCCATTGGTCTTGGCGCCGCGAACGTTTAACCTATTCACAATCGGCGTGGGGAACTATCATTTTGTCTCTTTTTCCGGTCAGTTTATAGTAACAGGCAAACAACCATAAAATGTCTGCTCTGTTTTTTGGAATACATCCCTGAAAATAAAACAGACAGACAAAAAGAGTATGCCAATTTTTTTTCCATTTTTTAAAAACAATCCAAGTGATACTAGAACTTCTTTTTGACCAGACATGTTTTTGTATGAATGGTTGGATAAAGCTTATTTTGCCTAGCAACTTGTGAAAGAAAATAATAATGTAATCAAGTTATGCTCGGCTTGAAACGGGGGAAATTCTCCTGGCAACCATCAAGGGTAGCTGAGTGAAAATGTGGCAGGGTTGTCGCTTTTCACCGAAGATTTAACGACATATTCTGTTCAGGTGTCAAAGACAAACTAACGACCGCCAGTTTAGGGGAGCAATTAGAATTGGAAATGCTATATTTAGAAGCAGTAGTGGTTGCCTGGTAACCCACGTTATTTAAAAATCGCGCAGTGGAAACGCTATTTCTAACTGCTGATAAAGTATCTGAAAGCCGGAAGATTCACAAAGTTTACTGAAAAACTCAGCCTTTGTGGCCTTAAAAATAACACTGATTTATGTGCGTGCAGCGTGAAAGAAAAAAACATTTTTGGTAGGGCAGGTGTTGACACCTTTTCTGTTCAGTAATGATGAGAACGCTTACCTCACGTCTTACATAAGGCAAGACATTCAACCTGTTTTTTCACTTTTTCGTATGTGTCCGCGCTCTCTCCATTTTTTTAACCCTTTCTGCTTTCTTTCTTTAGCGTCATACTTTCAATTGTGACCTTTATCTGTAATAACTGACTAACATTTTGTGGTGTACCTCACATTGAATATAGTTCTGCACGCCGCAGAAGAGACTCGTGACTCAAACTATCGTGAGATATCCTCCAATACGGGCGTTCGCTGGCCGGAAAAACAAGCGCACCAACAAACACAGCCTCTGAAGTATTGTAACGATTTCGATCAATTTTAGGTTGTGTTTCGAACAACTATTCTTTGAAATAAAAATTATCATTTTTAATTCCCAATTGGAATGCCTGCTGATTGCAGGCAGAATATGCCCTTGCTAACAAGAATCGTAACAACTGATGTGATACGGAATTAATCGTATCGAATTGTGATGCGTCGATCTTTCTGTGTTTGTCGGCCACATTTGATAAAAATAGGGCGTAATTTGCCAAACTACACTCCATTTTTTTAACCGAATCCTATTAAACATCTCCTACACGACTGTAAGACTTGGGGATAGAATTGACTTCCACCTGCTAGACCTTGGGCGAATTGATAGCGTGGAACTGGATATATCATACTAAGAACCAAATACAGCTGCAGTTTTAAAAAAGGAAAAAAAACATTTAGTCTTTTCTGGAAAAAAGTTCAGGCGACCAAGTGATCTTAATACAAAGAAATCCAAGAAGAAAAAAACATCGCCGTTTAATTTCAAAGTTAAGATTAATTGGGTTTGAATTGTTTTCCCCGCGCACACATACTGTGTAGAGCACAGTGCTACAATGCAAGACTGGAATCACCGACTTGCAACGTCGTAAAAAAACTGACGCGCAGCATGGAAATTCATCGTTAGGTTCACTCATTACCTTAAACATGACTATACGGATTGAAAAACTCGTTAGGGAATGACTCCATTCGCTTTCGTCTGAGAATCGCACAACTGAAAGAAGTCTTCTCGTCTAATGGAAAATTTTATGGGAAAACTCGACCCCGATAGCGAGATTTTCGCATAGAATTTCACTTCAATAAGTGATGTGGAATTTTCGTTTACCAGAAAAAACAATAAGACTGATCAGCTAGAATCTAATTCAAATTGCAAGGGAAAAAATTCCTCAACGGAAGCACGATCGCACCCGTTTCTAGAATAGTCGTTCAAATCGACCGGCGGAAGATCAACGGCTAGTCACGCAACGAGGTTGCACCTTGCGGTACGAAGCGATCGCGGGAATGGTGTGGTGGTCAAATTTTTATCTTCGCCGTTCTCCACTCGGCCAGACGATAACCACTCTGAAAGCGCAACCCATGATCCCCAGTCAGCATTCAAAGCTATGCTTGTAAACAACCAACTGGTTTGCCTCAGACTAATAAATAAGCGCAACTTTCCTCATTAATTTGTTCGGTCATATTTGCCCCCGAGCTAAATACACTGCGGCGCGTTGTAAAAGAGAGATAGTAATACTCGAACGAGTAAAATTGAGGCAATTCAAGTGATGCAAGTAGAGAACAGCTCCTATGAGCAAGGCCCGCGATGGGAGCATGCGTACTTGAGAAATATGGTAGTCACAAGATGGCTGCAAGACCACCAGTCCGTACGCTTTGATGACGGTGTTACACCACGTCTGTGTCTATTGCCAAATAATTGGACCGCAAAATGCATCGATTTTAAGAGTTAAATAGCAATTCACCGTCACATTAGCACATTTGTAACAGTCAAGTCTGCTCAAGATTTAGAATTCTTAGGTGTTACCTTGGTTCACACTGAGCACGATTGAAAAAGCGTGCTTTCCGGACTTTTTCTTCTTGGGCGAAATGTCTTTTAATTCCATGTACTTGTCGATAGGCAGCCGCGCTGTGCACAAACCCTTCTCTTCTGCTAGCGACTTCGTCTTATCCTGCAAACCAAACACACAGTATACTGACTTTAAAAAGTGTCATCAACTCAGGAAATGTGAATTTAGTTCAAAATGATCAATAAAAAATGAATGATGTCATCACTTAATGCGTGCATCATCCTTGGCCGTGTATACTATAATAACATAAATCTACTCTCCACTATATAGAGAGCTTTTTCGATTGAGTGTTGTAAAATCAAAACCAAAGTAATCGAAACGTCCTATCACTGGGATGAAAGGAAAATACCTTTGGGAGCCAATGAGAACCCAAAGCAAACAGCTTAAAGCGCGGGAAACGCTAGCGACCAAGACGTGCTTGGTTTTAGTTTTGCATCTGATTGGTTAAGAGAGTGGCGCAAGTTTTCTGGACCAACCACAGAGCAAATTAAAAGAGAAACAAAGCAGCCCCGGAATACTGTCGACATTCAATTGAAAATTGTTCCAATAACATATACAATCTACAAAACCTCGCGCTCCTCAAATGCAAGCGTGACGCTTGAAACATCAGGGCCCAGTTTTTCGAAAGCCGATTAGCGCTAAC